AGCCACCTGCCTTTATCCACAAAAAAGATTTCTCTTTTCACGTAATCGGATGACATAATTGTTAAATGCTTCAAGATGTACTAAAATGTTCCCTCAGCTTTGTACTCATTGCAGCTGTATGATAATAGTTCTATCAATAAATTTTCATTCAGGAGACCTGACAGGATGGCCTTGATTCCACTGGATTGGAAAATTCCAAGCTGATACCTGTTTGTTCAAAATTTAAAACTCAGTAAAATATGAGAGAAAATCTGTATCTTACCTTTTCTTTCAAAGTTGAAAAATGTAGACGGACATAGGAAAATGTGTCCTTATTACATGAGATGGCATAAGCACACGTAATTAATGTATTATTCTTTCATGATCTTTCAAAATGAAAACTGGTAACATACCTCTGGTCATAGAGAATATCAGCAAAGAGGAGCATAATAAAGTGTATTTACAGAACCATTAAATTTGCAACTCTCTAAGAGGAATAATTATAGTGAATTACCCTGTACCGAACAGAAAAAGCTAGTACAGTACTTTATAGAAAATATAATACTAAAGTATCACAAAAATATACTAGTTCCTCGTTTCCTGCCTACAGCAAGGGGGTTGGCACTAGATGATCTTAAAGGTCTCTTCCAATCCAAACCGTTCTATGATTCTATGATTCTGATGCCTAGAAATTACCTTTCTCATCCATATACATACAAATACACAGCTGAGACATCTTATTCAACCTATCTGCACTGTAAATGGTATGTTAAAAAAAAAAGACAAATATATGTAAAAGCTCCTGTAATGTGTGCTTCCGCAGATTAGTAGTCATTCACTGTTAGAAGCAAATATTACTTCAGATGCTTCAAGAGTTGTGATGTCTCTCTTAGTTCTTATGTAGGTCCTGCTACTTTTACCTCAGAAGTTTCTCAGATGTATATGATATACCTATGAAAATACAATACTTCTATAGCACTACAATACATTTCTTCTTAAATATATGAACTACTAGGAATTTGATGACAAAATAGAATAAAGGAATGCCATCCGAAGGAACCTGGATAGGCTTGAAAAGTGGGCACACATGAACCTAATGAGGTTCAACAAGACCAAGTGCAAGGTTTTGCACTTGGGTTGGTTGGGCCAATCCCAGACATGAATAGAGACTGGGAAAAGAACTCACAGAGAGCAGCCCTGTGGAAAAGCGCTTGGGTGTCCTGGGGGACAAAAAGTTGGACATGTGCCAGCAGTGTGTATTTGCAGCCCAGAGAGCTAACAGTATCCTGGGCTGCATCAACACAGGGGTGGTCAGCAGGACAAGGGAAGGGATTGTTCCTGTCTACTCTACCCTTGTGGGACCCTATCTAGAGCATTTGAGTCTGAAGTCCTCAGCAAAAGAAGGATGAGGAGCTGTTGGAGCCGGTCCAGAGAATGACCACAGAAATGATCAGAGGGCTGGAACACCTCTCTTATGAAGAAGTGTTGCAAGAGCTGGGCTTGTTCAGCTTGGAAAAGTCTTTGGGGAGACTTCATTGTGATCCTTCCATACTTGGAGAGAATTTACAAACAGGAGGAGACCAACTTTTTGCATGGGTTGATAGTGATAGGGTGAAGGGAAATTCCTATAAGGTAAAAGAGGTAAAATTTAAGTTAGGTGCTATAGGAAGAAATTATTTGCTCAGAGAGTGGTGAGGCACTGGTACAGGTGCCTAGAGAAGCTGTGGACATTCCATCTCTGGAGACATTCAAGGTTGGATGGGGCTGTGGGGGTTCAAGATAATGTTCAGAGTAGAGACTGAAAAACAAGTTTGATAGTATGTGGAAGAGGACACTGAGAATAAAGACTGTTTCCAGGAGACAAGAAGTCAAGTGGGGCATGTAATCACTGTGTGATGACCTTGACTGGAGAAGAAACGTGTAAATAGAAGCAATTTGTGGCTCTGATTGGATGAGCACTGGTGTGGGCAGTTAGTGCCTTGACTTGAAGAAGACTTGTTAAGTGTTCTGTTGACATTTTGGGAGGGATGGAAAGTTACAAGACGGAACTTGGAAATGTACATAAGGGATGTTAGAACCTGCAGTGAATGATTTGGATTGTTCACAACTGAGTCCATGCCTCAGATGCTGCACCGAGCAACCTGATCTTGTGGGTACTCAAAAGCCTGATCTTGCAGATGGAAGACCTGTGGTTTGGAACTTAGCTTAGTTAAACGTAAGTGAACTCTCTCTCTTAATAGTATTTCATAGAAACATACATTTCCCTATTACCATCAATAATGAAAAATAGACTAAAGTTGTGTTAAACACCCTTACAGGATGTTTGAAATGACTTAACAAGATTGCCCACAGGACATGGTCAGTAACGCAGTTGTCTAAGTGACTGCATTTTATAGTTGCTGAGATTCTGTAATGGAAAAAAGTGAAAATCTTTGTTTTCCACTAAAATGGAAACAAAATACAAAAAGTACTTGGTAAACAATGTATAAATGACTAAAGGTACCATAGAATCATAGAATGGCCTGGGTTGAAAAGGACCCAATGATCATCTAGTTTCTGTCCCCCTGCTATGTGCATGGTTGCCATCCACTAGACCAGGCTGCCCAGAGCCACATCCAGCCTGGCCTTGAATGCCTCCAGGGATGGGGCATCCACAACCTCCATAGTAACCTGTTCCAGTGTATCAACCATCCTCTGAGTGAAAAAGGACCCACAGTGTAAGACAGAAAAATATCCAGATAACTGATTTGAGGACAGCCTGTAATACTCTGAAAAGATACACAAGAATTATTACAATTATTATAGTGGTTATCTCTGCCTTTTCTGGCTTCTACCCTACTTATGCTGTCTATGGAACCTTTAGATGCCCTAAAAAACTGCAATTTGCCTATTCTGGTCTGTTAATCATACCAAATAGGTGGCCTCCGTGTATTCTAAATTCATTTTTGCTTTAAGACAGATACTATATCTAACTCTTCTATTTGAAAACAACACATTGTTTTTTACTATAATAGAGGCAGACTTAGGCTTTTCTTTTAGCAGTGCATAGTGAAGCTTACATTTCCAGCCAAAAGAAAATATCTGCCATCATTTTCAGGTAAGTCCTTTCAAAAGATTTTATGTCACTAATGAGGTTTGATAGAAAACCACTTAGCATATTCCCTTTATTTTTTACTGAAATTAATGCATTATGCCATTAACATTCATATTAGAATCCTTGACAAAAGACAAATCGATTAAGAATAACTTCAAAAATCATGACCTGAAAATCTTTGCATTTTGAATAAAAATATGTGAAATTAAAGGATATAAGGATATATTGAAGGATATAAAGAATATATTACTTACACACGTCAGTGTTACTAGAAATACTGTTAATGTTGCCAATTATTTCTTGTGTATGGCACAAGCGTTTTTGACAAAAGCATAGTATTAATATGTCATATTCAGAGGAAGAAATGAGCTGACAGCTGTTTAATGCATTTTTGGTTAGCATAAATTCAGCAAAAATTTGTAGTTTTGTGAAATTGACACATGAGTAACAGATGGTTGACATATAAATCATCAGCCAAACGTAAAGGAATTATAGCAGGAGGAAAGAGAGCAGAATTTTGCCCATGAAGATTGCAGGCTACTTATAGTTTACATGGTGACATATATAGCTGTAGTTAGTGTGAGGTTACCATAGTAACTTGTAGATCAGTCAAATATTTCTCCAGCCCTCTGCCAATTGAAGGACTAGAATACAAAGCTCAAGATGGTAATGAGAGATTCTGGGGACTATTAATGTGGACTGATTGAGGATTAAGACTTTTACACGCCTTTACAAGTGAAGAATGGCTGTGAATTCCCTCATTAATACAGAGCCATATTTAATTCTCTAAGATCTCCCACATTTCTTGACAGGAAAATGTTTCACTAAAGCTTTTTCCAAAGAATTGCACTGTCATGTTATCTGCATGTTATCCTTAACTATTCCGTACTGATTTTGCATACTGAAGGGAGGGAACAAGATTCAAAATAGTATAAACTGTGACTGCTGACCACAAAACTACACATTATGAATCAAGTAAAATTGAATTAGCTAAACTGGACTGATTTAAGTATCTGCAGAATTTAGTATTTCCAGTTAAAAACTACAAATCTGAGCTACTATAGTTCTCAGTGCACACCTAGAAATCTACTTCTAATTCATGCACTTTTTAGTTGCATATTCAGGCATTTTATTCTGGTAGAATATTTTTACTCAAAATATCTCAACCCATGAGCTGTTTTTTTTCTACTGTATTTTCTCCCCTTGTTGTTTGGATGAGGGGGAGCAAGCAAGTGGCATGGTGGAGCTTAGCTCCCATCAGTGGGAAACCATCACCCCTCAGTATTGCTAATTGTTTTGAAAAAACACGCCATCTCTGTTAGTAGAGATTCTTGCAGTTGACTGGAATTTCAGTAGAACAACATTTCTGTCTTTTCTACCAATCGTTTTCACTGTATTCTTTACACTGACACATTTCTAAGATACATTACTACATATGCCATCTAACTTAACACAAGAACAAATGCATCTGTATAAACATACTAATTTGTCATGATATGTGCTATTTTTTCCTATGTAAAATCTCAAAGTTGGAACTTTTTATATACATAACAGTGTGAACATACTCCTGCTCCCACAATTTCTTGAAGCTCCAAGAAAATATACTATACAAACCATGCTACTGCAATGTGTCTGCCTCTACCTTTTTTATTTTTTGCAGCATCTATCTATATACTGCCCTTTATGATGCAAGCTAGATGCACTGAAAGAATTTGAAATGAAGACATCTGAAATAACTTAGCAACTCAGTGAAGTGGGACTCCAACTTCATACTTCTAGGACAGTTGTTGGCAGTAGAGAAATGCTGCATTTATCACACACCATGACCAAAAAAGCTATTAAATATGGAAATGAAAAATAGAAGAGTACATAAGATGAATTTTATCATGTGCTATAACATCGTTTTAACTGTGTCAGTGTCTGTTACCTTGCTGTAGCTTGATCATCCATATCAGTCTTTGATTTTTGAGAGGTGACTTGTTCTGATGAAAAAACAGCACTGCAATACAAATGGTGAAAACATACTTAATGCATATGATATTTGGAAACAGGTTACATAATTTATCACTTATGTTAGTTATTATTGTAGATATGTTTACTTATTTCTGACAGGATCAGTCAGATTGGTCACTTTTGGAACACTGAAATGATAAGAGTAGGTGGCAGATACAACTGGGAATGAGAATCCATGTTTCTATAGACAGTCCTTCTATTAAGATGGCAATTAAATTATGTCAAGTTTTTCAACTTCCTTTATCATAAGCCATGAAATTACAGACTATTAGGAAAAGGTTACTTAACTACAGGCCACGTGAAATATACATTTCATTAATGAATTGTTTTAATAAATTTATTTTCTGAAATTGGAGCAGCTTTTGCAAATACTAAAATTTAGAGGGACTTTACAACAAATCATCCTATGTTAATGCTTTGTATTACAAAAATTCGAATTTGTATAACTTTTTGATTTATGATTTTCTCCTTCTTTGCTTACTCATTCTCTTTTTCACTCTTTAAAACATCAGTTTAGCATTAACAAATGGTCACATTAACTACATATATAATTGTGAATTTAAAATTTTGAAGCAATTTTAAATATTTTTATTCAGCTACAGTTTTAAAATTTTGAGTAAATATCCAATGAAGTGTTTTAAACTATGAACATAGCTATATTTCTGCAAAGAAGGATGGCTTCTTCATGCAATTCTGGGACCCTGACTGTGGAGGAAACTCACCAAATAAATCATAGTATTACAATTATAAGTATGCTATATGAATAAATATAAAATAATAATCAATGTTTGTGCATAGCGGTGTGTTGCATATCTAGACTTACTAGGAAGCAAGATAAACAAGGCATACCTTGTTGGATCTTCCAAATTTTCTGATGATATGGCCCTGGGAAAGAGAAAACATTTCAGAAACACAATGGTAATACTGAAGCACTTTACAAGCTTTTAGATAAGTAATTAGCAATTAATTTTACTTTTCTTCTTTCAAGAATGTACTTTTCCTTGTTTCTTAATGTAGTATATAATTTGTTTAACCCAAGTACTATAATGATATAATTATAATCATACACTTTATGTGTTACTAAGGCACTAATTCTTCAGTTAATATTCTCCAGTAAATCACAGATCAATAGTGTTTTGTTTACAGCATACAATTCACAGTCCAGAAAACTCAATTACAGTCAGCTGCTTATAGGCTTAGCTTATTTTTTTTAAGCATTCTGTAAGGTGTTATTCATCCATTAAGACTGAGACAAAGCACTATAAAAGTTCATGTGTCATGCTTGAATACAGAAAACTAAAATTGGGTCTCAGAATTAGAAAAGGTTATCAGATTATAAACTCAATAGAAAAATAATCCTTCATTGCTGAACTGCTTTCCTGAAGATAGTAAACACAGCAGAACATAGGCCATTCTTGTATTTGAAGAAAAGACAGTCCTTTGCCCCAGCTGTCCCTAAGACTGATAGTGACCTTTTAAAACTGTGGTTATTAGCATATATACATCACACTTTATTTTCTGAAACTCATAAGCAAATAAAAGGCTCCCCTTTGGCTATTATTAGTTACAGTAATTTTCACAATTTCAAATAGCTTACCCATCCTCAAACCACTTTTCAAAGATAAACAAATTAATCATTTAATGCCCATCACTGTTTAACCAAGTATGCTTGGTAACATTGTAAGATGATTCAAGAATGGCAAGAGTTCATGAAAGCTTCATCAAGAATAGGCCTGTATTTCAGTCATCTCTGTCTGATGAGGGTAGAGAAGTAACTGGATAGTTAGTGCTAAGAAGGACATAGGAATCTTGGGATTTTATTGGAAGTTGGCAAGGTGAAAGCATTCCTTGCTTTCAAAATTACCATGATCATAGTGAGATCCTGAAATTAAATCAGATAAATTCACTGCAGCTGACATATTAAAATATCTGTTAACTGGCTTTCCAGTGGTTGGTGAGTGACTTTGAATTTTGGCCAAATCCTCTAAATCCTTCTTTAAAGGGCTGCTCTCAATGAGTTCTTCTTTCAGTCTGTATACATATCTGAGATTGCCCTGTCCTAAATGTAATGCACTGCACTTGGTCTTATCGAACCTCATTAGGTTCACGTGGTCCCACATTTCAAGCCTGCCCAAGTCCCTCAGTATGACATCCCTTCCTTCTGTCATATCAACTGCACCACTCAGCTTGGTGTCATCAGCAAACTTCCTGAGGGTACCCTCAACACCACTGTCTATGTCACTGATAAATATGTTGAAGAGCACTGGTCCCAAAATGGACTATTGAGGAGACACTGTTTGTATAACCAAGATGTTATAATTGCAATATAATCAAAAGAGTAAGGCAAAGCTGTATAACCAAGATGTTATAATTGCAATATAATCAAAAGAGTAAGGCAAACAAGGATCACAAAAGAGAATAAGTAGAAGAGCTTACCCTTGGGTTGAGCTCACTAGAAGATATCAAAGAGGAGGATCTCCAGAAGAGATCCTTCCCCTCTGGTAGCCAGCTCTTAAATAGGTCCAGGAGGGGTGGAGCCTGGCTCCACCCCTTCCGGTAGCACAGGTGAATTGCCTTCACCTGTGCTCCTCTGGCTGACCCATGGCTCACCTCAGGTGATCAATCAGAGGTTCAGGCCGTGACTCAGCAGTTCCCATACACTGTTTCACCAGCCTCCATCTGGATAAAGAGTCATTGAACACAACCCTCTGGCTGGACCATCCAAGGAATCTCTATCCACCCTTCAAATTCATCTCTCTCCATTTTAGAGATAATGATATGGTGTGAGATTGTGTCAAAGGCCTTGCACAGATCCAGGTAGAAGACATCATTTGCCTTCCTTTGTTCACTGATGCCATCACCCCACCATAGAAGACCGCCAGATTGGTCAGTCAGCCCCTGTCTGTCTGACCAAGAGGCATTAAGAGATTCCTGCCCATATGACTAGTAAGTAATTTCTGAAGTAAAATCACAGAGAAAATATACATGCATTGTAGAAAAATTTAGGAGCACTTATGCAACCTGAAGTCTTTGGCACTTCACACACACCTCAGTCAGTCATGGGCACCAAGCTGATTAGAGCCTAAACAAGTCTTTAGACATGGGATCCTTTTTCTACCCATACCGTCTTACTTAACCCTTGTAGGCTTACATGTGAAATCAGCTCTAGCAAAAAATTACAAAAGGAAGTAACTAATGATCATTAGTACTTACCGCTTGAATTCCACTGCTTCTGTCATGGTCTTATTACTTGAAACTGGAGGAGGCATCCAAGATTGTCTGTCAGTGTAAACAAATAAATGCTTAAGTATTAGTATATGTTATGGGATTGAACAGCAGTTTGAGTCTGTTTCTTCTCGAAAGAACATTAGAATCTCAGAAATGGTGTAGGAATGTCTGTAATGGTTCTTAAATTACTAATATTTTGAAAAAACTGCATAATTATACTCTTTAGACCATTTTTTAAAATCCAGACAATTGAATGGAATTGGAAATAACATCATAAATTTAATTACTATTGTGTACAATGTATTTTCTGACACCACATTGTCTTTTCTACAGTTCGAAATAAGTGGATTGTTCTCTGAAAACACAACAAAATAGAATGTACAAAGCAAACAAGGGTGTGAATACCAACTCAAGAAGCATTTTTGGGCTTTTATTAATTGTTTTGTATTATAAGCACTTTCAGCTGTTGCTTTACTTCTTTTCTTGAAAGAAATCAATGATACTACTGATCATATTGTTTGCACATGGAATATGGGAAAAAAAAACACAACACAGATAGAAATAATGAATGGAAAGGATACATAAAGCAGGACTTCATAGCCTTGGAGACACAAGTGAAAGGGACGAGGACCCAAGAAATAGTCTCCTTTATGTTGCCAGTCAGAGATAAGGGAATGTACAGAACACTCTCTTATGCAGGACAAACACAGATTAATACCTGGCTACATGTCATTGCCGTGTCTTTGGTATTTCCAATCACAGAATACATTTCAGTGAAAACAGATTACTGGGCAACGATGAGATCCACTTGTCTATGAAAGGAACAAGAATCTTCACTGGCAGGTTGGCTGATTCAGGGATCTGGGCCTCTAACTAACGAAGCTAATAAAGCTGTAGCACTTTGTATATTTGCGAGCTACATGGTGGAAGAATGCCCCTCAGCTCTCCAAAAATAACACATCAGAAACTTTAGACAATTGAAAGTCCAGTTGAAGTATTTATATTAATTCACATAACGTGGATAACATGAGTAGCTTGTACATGCTGTCCACCTAGAAAGCTGTGATCTGAATGCTGATACTGAAACATGGTGGGATGAACAACATGACTGGAGTGCTCTAGTGAGTGGCTGAAAACTGTTCAGAAGGGACAGACAAGGAAGATTGCCCTTTATGCAAAAAGGTGACTGAGACAGGGAACCTGACAATAACTGATATGGAGAGGACTGAGGTATTCTACAACATTTCTGTCTGTATTCACCAGCAATTTCTCTTGCTATGCCTCCCAGTTCACAGAGTCTCAAGGCAAGGATTGGAGGAATGAAGTCTTACCCACCACAGGAGAAGATCAGGTTTGAGATAATTTGAAAAACTTGAATGTGTGCAAGTTCATGGGATCTGATGAAATACATCCCAAAGTGCTGAGAGAGCTGATTCCTACAATATTCTTCTGGAGAAGCTGGCAGCCCATGGCTTCAACAGGTACACTCCTTGCTAGGTAAAATTTGTCTGAATGGCCAGACCCAGAAAGTGGTGGTGAACAGAGTTAAATCCAGTTGGGGACCAATCAAGAGTGTTTCCCCAGGGAACTGGGGCTGGCCTTGTTTAATATCTTTATTGATGATTTGGATGAGGGTGATGAGTGACTGAAAGGATGAGTGCACCCTTAGTAAGTTTGCAAATGACATCAGCCTGGAAGGATGTGTCAATCTGGCTGAGGATTACAAGGCCCTTCAAAGGGACCTGGACAGGCTGGGCTGAGACCAATGAGATGAAGTTCAACGAGACCAAATGTTAAGTCCTGCACTTTGGTCACAACAGCTCCACACAATGCTACAGGCCTTGAGCACGGTGGCTGGAAAGCTGCACAGAGGAAAATGATCTGGGGGTGTTGGTCAATCCTCAGCTGAATATAAGCCAGCAGTTTGCCTAGATGGCCAAGAATGCCAATGGCATCCTGTCTTATATAAAAAAAGAGTTTAGCCAGCAGGACCAGAGAGGTGATTGTCTCCCTGTACTCAGCTCTGGTGAGGCCATATCTCAACTACTGTGTTCAGTTTTGGGCCCCTCACTTCAAGAAAGACACTGAAGGCCTGGAACATGTCTAGAGAAGGGCAACAAAGCTGTGAAGAGCCTGGAGCACAAGTCTTATGAGGAGCAGCTGAATCCCAAAGTCACTATCCATCATATGTGGAAAGTCACAGAAGCCAAGTGAACTTCCCAGTAATTGGAAAAAGGAAAAAATGTCTTCGTTCCTTAAGAGAGTCCCAAATCAATGTTTTTGATGGGTATACTACTCAGAGGATAATGAATTGGCTGAATGGCGACATCTAAACAGTTGTGGTCAATGTCTCAATGTTCAGGTGAAGATCTGTGCTTGGAGGCATCCCTCAGTGGCACAACATACTAGCAGTGGAACTGTTGAGTATCTTCATTGGTGACGTGGACAATAGACCGAGCTTACTCAGCAAGTTCATGGACAATAACAAGCTGAATCATGCAGTTGACACCTGAGAGAGAAGGAATGCCATCCAGAGGGATCTAGCCAGGCTTGGGAGATAGCCCATGTGAACTTCAGAAAGTTCATCGTCAAGTGCAAGTTCCTGAACATGGGTCAGCACAATCCCAAACTTCACTACAGACCAGATGATGAATGGCTTGAGGGCAGGCTTGTTGAGAAGGACTTGTGGGCACGGGTGGATAACAAACTCAACATGACTCAACTATATGTGCTAGTAGCCCAGAACGCCAATCATATCCTGGGCTGCATCAAAACTAGTGTGGCCAGCTGGCTGAGGGAGGTGCTTATCCCCCCTCTATTCTGTCTTTGTGTGATCTCACCTGGATTACTGCCTTGAGCTCAAGGGCCCATAGCATAGGAGAAATGCAGACCTACTAGAGCAGATCCAGAAGAGGACTACCAAATGATCAGAACACTGGAGCACCTCTCCTACGAATTGACGCTGAGAGAATTGAGGTTGTTCACCCTAAAGAAGGATACAGGGAGACCTTATTTCAGCCTTCCAGTTTTTAAAATGTGCCTACAAAGACTCATTATTGAGGTGCATACCGATAGGACAAGGGGTAAATAGTATTAAACTAAAAGAATGTAGACTTACATTAGATATTAGGAAGAATTTTTTCACTGCGAGAACATTGAAGCCCAGGCTGGATGAGGCTTTGAGCAAACTAGTCTAGTGGAAGGTGTCCCTGCCCATGGCAGGAAGTTTGGAACTTATGTGTTAAAGGTCCCTTCCAACTCAAACCATTCTATGACTGTATGATTAAAATACAGCTATCCCAAGCAGTATGTTTTGAATCTAAAAAAAAAGTTATTTGTTCTACACTCTGTCTTTTCTCTTATTCAGTCAATATTATTTGAAATTTAAATTTTTAAAGCTAGCTATTCCAAAACCATTTGTGTAGTTTTTGTGTAATGAAACAGCACAGGGTAAAGTTTGGCATCAGAGATTTCAGCTGGTTGTAATTAGAATGTGCTACAACACTTTAAATTTATACACTGAAAAGGCATAGTTTTGCTGAGTTAGGGGCTGTAGTGAAGAATTAGCATCTATTATTGTGTCCTCAGAGCTTAAATTGGTAGTACAAACTATCTTCAACACAGTACTCTCAGGGAAAAAAAAACAGAGAATTCTGGAGTTTGCTAGAGGAGAAAGTTGATAATGTTTTTTGATACAATTATTAACAGAGGTTTAATACAGTGCTATATGTCTTCTGCCAATCAAACAATGGCAACATGTCCTCTACCAATCAAACAATGGCAACAATGAATACCTTTTTTTCTTGATTGGAGAAGTGGCAGGAGTGTTTGTGGATGATGTATTAGGAGTCCAAGATTGTCTGTTAAGAAAATATACTTCATTCATTCATTTACTAATTCATCTTTAATAAGTGTATCATTTTAAATGAGAAAACAAGGATAAAAAATGACATTTCCCTCATCAGAAAGACATGACTGTGCAGAGTAAATGATTCAATTATGCTTACATATGCCAAATGAAATTTTGGAAATAACTCAAATGATAATAGATTTCGGATATCTTAAGGAGTTCTCATACTTAAAGAATATGTGTCTTTACTTGCTATCCGAACTAATTTCTGACTTCTGAACATCTGAACTTCTGTACCAGCACTTCACTCTCCAAGTTCTAAAATATTTTTCATATTGTAAATTTTATGCTTTTCACATAACTGTTAGTGCTGTTCTATTTTATTATATGCCTGTAAAGGAAGCTGACATCCTTCGTATTCCTAACTACATAAATTCCAAGTCAGGGATTTTTCTCATAAATGTTATCAAAAAAGTATTGTCTGTTCTCTTCAGTTCTTAATGACATTAGAATAACTAAAGAATGGAGTTTAAAAAATTATTTCATTGCTGTCTGGCAGGAGAAAGTGTATACCACTGAAGTCTCACTTAAGCCCTACTTCAGAACTCATGGTAGTTAAAAAATACTCACAGTATTAAAATTTATCTCCAAACTCTATAACTCAAAAATCCAATTTATATATTTCATGTCATCATCATAATGGTTTACAACATTATGATATAAAATTACAACTTAAAAGAATGGCTTCACTTGATGTTTAAAAGGCTTTATTTTGCTCTTCAGAATAAAATCTTGGCACTTTGTAAGATGACATTTAATTCCTGTACTCAGTTCTCACTAGCAACCATATTTAGTGCAACTTATTTTTGATAGAACCCTACAGGCACTGATGAAGGCACACAGCAATATATTTGTTTGTTTACATTTATAAGGATGGCAACTGAGCACTTCTGACTTTCAATTTTTAAATAAAAATTTCAGTTAGTAGAGCTGTGCTTTAGAAATTAAATTTTGAATGTTGTTTAATCATGTTAGATGTATCCTATGGTCACCTCTCAATCATAACATATTTTTTAAATATTATTTCACAGTATTTCTGCTATATTATTTTAAATTAAATTTTGGCTTTAACCTGTTTGCAATGAAATCTGAACTTCTAAAAAAATAAAAGCCTTCAAAGAAACCATGAATTTTCTGTTTGATTTTCACTAAAAAAAAAAAAAAAACAAATCAGCCTTGCTATCAAAAAATATTTTGTTACAACTTGGTTACCAAGTTTTCCATTGGCCAAAGTTCAGTGATATTTTCCAGTGAAAACCTGAGTCAGATTTTTTTTTCCCCTGTTGACTTTCCTCATGAATTCATGCAGACAAATGCAGAGCTCTAGAACATAACCACAATGAATTGATTTCAAAACATTCTCAGTCTTCCTTTTCTGTATCTGTATTGTATCTAAAACCCTGTATTTCTTAAATAATTGGTATGAAATTTAAATATATAAATCTGTGCTGACCTTTCTTTTAATCTGTGTGGACAAATAGGCAGTTCTAGGAAATAATAATTCCTCTTGTTCTAAAAACAAAGCATCTGAAAGACATCAGTTGAATTACCCACCAAAAGACACTTTTTTACAGAATGACAGGGGTTGGAAGGAACCTCAAGAGATCATCGAGTCTACCCCCCCTGTTAAAGAGTCCATGGTAACTTAGGTATGGATGGCTGCATTCCAGATGTCAAATGGTGAAATGAAACCTGCTGTTAAGCCATATACCATACTAAGTATTTCTTTAAACATTCTTGCTATATTTACAGGTAACTTGGATGATAATACCTGGATATATAATGCTTAGATGATAACATTTCCAAAACACTTACCTATTGTTTTGCTTATTATTTAGAGTGGGAGACTTATTTATTTTGTCGATATCACTACTGCCTGGAATTCTGTTTAAAAAGAAAAAGCAAAAATAAACAAACAAAACAGAAATTATTCAAAATACATACTCTAGATCTTTATTTTAAACCACTGAATAAAATTAAAAGATGAAGTATCCCTTTGTCCTGTGTTCAGATAACAAATTTAATAGCACCACAAAAAAGGTACAGAAGAGAAGCTGACAATATAAATGTAGTGCATTCAAATCTGAACAGTCTAAGCTCACTGAAAAACTGTTTTAAAAGAATATGATGTTTAGATTCTAAGTGATATATTAAGCCTTATTGCTGTAACAATTAATTTTAGAATAGAATAAAATTGAGTAGAATATATAGCAATTCCTTTGAATTATAACTGAACACTAGAAAGAATGCAGTGTTTTTCAGATAAACAGCATGTAAGGTAATCTATTTCCATCCACTTCACCATTCCCTGAGAGATGCAGCAGTATGGTTTTCTTTATGGCTTTAGAGATCAATATGATTTGAAAATGCTCTAGTGAAAAATGCCTGACAAAACCTTGTAATGGCCTATAGGAGTACCATCTATCACAGAAGTTATGTTGCTTTACCTTAAATTGATTTTATTATGCCATAACTATTATACTAAGAACTAATCATGACTTTTAAGGCTCTTAAGTATTCTAGAGTTGCTGCCCAAAGCCCTGTCACACTTTCACAGAAAGCATTACGTAGCTATCATAGCTGAAACACAGTTTAAACACTTAAATACTTATATGTATATTTAATCCATAAATGAAATCACAGAATCACAGAGTTGAGGCTGGAAAAGACCTGTGGAGGTCACTTGGTCCAACCTCCCTTGAGTAGTGCCACCAGCCTGCTCAGGAGTATGTCCTCTGGTAAGAAGAAAGAGAGTCCAAAGAACTCAAGTATAAATTTAAGTAAATAAATTACAAATACTAAGTTGAGATGTTTATCTTAAATATTTGGTTAAATTAGTTGAAAAATATTTTGAACTGCAACAATTACACATGGAAATTACTTAATTCTTGTTACGTACCCATAGATACATTACTATAGATATAATTATTTCGACATTTATAATCCAATATTATGTACAAAACCTTTTGTAAGCTGCCTTCAGCCAGCCATCACAGAAGATGGTTGTATTTAAAGAAAATCCTTCAAAGACACTATGACACAATCTGTTCTTTCTTTAATTCTTAAACTCAATTGCTCAAATATCTACGTCATTATATGGCTGTCTTGTAACAGTGACTGGCAGCTACAGTTTCCCAAAAGATCACTAGAGGTCTCACTAATCTTGCAAACTGTACTGTGGATGCAAACATAAGTGTTGTAATTAATTCACTGAGCAAGCATTTCATTAGAGTTTCATTTCCTATTTTCAAAAATTTAAGCAAAATACTTTAAGTGGTGATATATTAATAATTCTAGGTCAGACTTAAAGGGTCCACCTGGCATCCATCTGGCTGCTCAATGTAGTAATGTTTTGAAAAAAGTAAAAGAAGTTAACTGTAAAGTTAACTTTTCCACGTACAACTTTTCTGCTTCTGATAAGCAGTGGTGGAAGAATATACACAGTTTGTACGCACACTGCTATCTACAACAGACACCTCTGGATTAATGATGCATTTATCCATTGGTTTTTCTGAACCAATTTAAATATCTAACCTCCACGTTATCATGCAATGGTGACACCTAAGGTTAATTTGTGTTAACAAAAAAACACAAATATTCTTTATTTTCTTTGAACTGTTATTTAAATTGAGTTATTTTTATCGAGTATCTTATCATTCTTAAAATAAAGCAGTCAAATTCCTTCCTTACACACTTTCCCTACGTTACATTCTTTTCCAAGCTAACAAAATGTTTTCTTTTCAGCCATTCCATGCATGAAAGCTATTCTGTACCTGTAGACATATTTACTGACATCTCCCTTTACACATAAGTAAAATATTGCATAGTGTGTTCAAGATGTGAAAAATTGGTTAGTACCACTGAATAGTAGCTTATCTTCACATCTTAATATTACAATTTTTCTCTGATATATGAAGTATAGAACTATGTGCCAGTATATGTGCATCTACTGCAGTCAAACTACAGATTTCTCACAACTCATCTACTCTTTTGCTTGCAGCCAATGGTGCAAACATGTAGACAGCCCCAACATCTCTTCCAGCTCCTTGATACTGAAACTGATGTTCAAATTTTGTGAATACTGGGTTATCATAGAATCATATAATTGCTTGGATTGGAAGGAATCATTTAGTTCCAACCCTCTTGCTATTGACAAGGATACCACCCACTAGATCAGGATGCTCAGGGCCCTTTCCATCCTGACCTCGAATGCCTCCAAGGTTGAACTTAGGATATCCAACAATAATGTCCTTGAATACGGAAATGACAGGAGTTGGGAAGCATATCTGTACTTGAAATGGCTTATAGATATGTCTTCACTGTTGTATTTCTACATAGATTGAAGAACATCAAATTACTCCTGTACTCTTCGAGCAGTGTATTTCCAATTTTTTAAATTAGAGTTTCAAGGACTATTTACATGTTTTGCAAACTAGCTATTGAAGACACATTTATCTAGATAGAATCCCATTCTGAAAATCCATGTCCTTTGGAGTAATGCCCACAAGAGATAAAAAGTAGAAATTCGGATAGATTCTAATCTCTGGCTTAAAACTGGTAACATCTGCATGCCTTCTGCACAGTAGACTGCAATTTTACAACATCCTAGCTAAACAAAAATTATTTTACTTGTAAGCAGCTGAGAAATCTCCAGTATGAAGGTAATTCTTCTCAAAGCTGTCAAGCTATGAACAATGCTTTAGATTTTCGTTTACATTCCATAATCATAAAAGACATTTTTCAGCTACACATTTTAGCTTTGAGGAAAAAAAAAAAAAATAATGAATGATTCTTTTTTTACACAGAAAACTAAGAAATATTGCTAGTCTGAAAACTGCTGTGTTCTAAGCTTGAGATTTCTTTAGTACTGTTATTCTTGCCAGAAATAATTTTTAAGAAAATAAGGGAATTGTACCTGGTGGACAACATCCTTACCGAGGAAGCAGAAATACCAAATTGAACTGCAAGCTACAAAAAGGAGCTAAGAGAAAATACATCACTACACCCTTTTATGCCTCAGGTTGCAAATTTGAGAAGATGCAGAACACATAGTTCATATTCACAGAAGTGCCTTCTGGCAATGGGTGTGTATGAATTAATCCTGAAATTACTGATATCACAGATTTGAGAAGACTAACGATGACTGAGAAAAAAAACAAACAACTTGACTACCTACTTCCTCATTTTTATCATTTTAACATAGAACCAACATTATTCACTTAATTCCACATCAGTTATCAGAAATGTTCATTCATATATATGAACATTTCTTTATTTTTTTGCCACCTGTTGCATATTAATAACAATTTATCTTAGATATTTGTGTGTATGAGAACACAGGCAGCTAACAACCTAAAATAATTCAGGCATCTTTAATATCATAAAACAGAAATTCCCAGTTGGACAGGGATGTTCAGGACAATACTTTTCGTCAACACTATAGATAGTGAAACTGCCCTATGGCTTCTAAACTAGCAGTCAGAGCTTCTATTCTGAAAAATAAGGCCTTAAATTTGTTTTTGAGTCAATGAGTTTGTGGGTAAGAGTGACAGTAGATACAGTCTGCTTGCATTTCCGAACAGATTCCTAGAAAATTCCTCATTAAAGACTATTAAATAAACTAAACTACTGTGTGGTAATAGAGTTCTTTCATGCACAAACAACTGGTTAAAAAGTCAGGAATATAGGTTTGGAATAAATGGTATTTTTTTCAGAGTGGAAAGTGAGATCTGTACAAGACCTGAGTTTTCCATATATCTGGAAATTATCTGGAAAAGAGAATCCAGACAATGTTGCTTGCCAATTACACTAACTCATGACAATCAAAGCAAATGCTGACTGGCAAGGCTTTCAGAATCATGTGTTAAAATACTAGATTTCTAAAATGGCAGGTGACATTCATTTTTCTTAGATGCAAAATAATGCCTGCCAAGAAAAACAACTGATCTCTGAACTAGCTATTATCACTCAAGAAAGAGGTCTTATAGTTATAAAGATAATATTGTGAAAATGAGCTCAATTCTCAGCGATACTCAAAAGAGCAAATTCATTATGAAGTATGAGAAAAGATATGGCAAATGAACCAGAAACCATTGCTATATTCCTGTACATGTGTAAGGTGTGCTCTGAGGTGGACATTCCGGTCAAAAAGACTAACATGGAGATAGAAAAGATATGGAGAAAAGCAGTAAGTAAAATAAAGTTATAGGCTCACTTCTTCATGATGAAGGAACAAATACAGTAGAATTCATCAGACTATAGAAGAATCACAGAGCACTGTAGCCCATTTTATTTCAGCTTTCTATGGACACAGTAAATGTAATGCAATCATTTGTCTTACAACACCATAAACATGGTCATCAAACAAAATTACAAAGTACCAAGATCCAACCAAACAGGTCCATGTTCTCTACAGAGTATGCATTAAATTCTGATAAGTGATAGGGTCTTGTTGATAACAGATAATAATTGTGGACTGAATTTTGAAGATTTTCTGCAGAAACAATCTGCAAATACTGTTGTGATCATGTCTTAAAGAACTAGACAGAAGTTAACACTGATAAGAACATTTAAATTAAGCACCTTTAAGATACCTGTATGGTACTGATATTTATGTTGATCAGAGTATGAAGTGGCAACAAGAATTTGGAAAGAACTAATTATTAGACATGTGCTGAACTGTTGGAGATAGGATGCTGATTTACAGTTTGAAAAAAAGGAAACTGGGAAGGAGTAAATGGGTCATCTGTGTGGAGGTGTTTACTTTTATGAGCACAAGAGTCCACATGAACTGATACAAGGGAAGAAGAGCAAGATTTCAAAAAGAACCTTTTCCCAAATCACATTTCCATTTGTCTAATTTACAATTCATGCAAAAATCAGTCAAATTCTTCTACTTAGTAAATAGAAAAAAATGATACATAATTTATCTCATTCATACCTTCATATTTGAGACTACTTATACGTATAAGAATCACAAAATTAAATACATATGAAAAACATCTGTACCTGTCCAAGTTAGTATCGGATCTGTATCGTCCAAGTGCAGTTTTCTGATCTTCCTTTTCATTTGCGCTACTGCCATAAAAAAGGTTAAAAAATGACACATTTGTCACTGTTTAATTAAACAACTCATCACATATAAAACAATATAGAAAATGAATTAAAGTCTCATACGGAATTTTAGACTGTTCAGGTGTTAATAAATCCAATTCTGTACCTATTGCAATCATCAGCTTAATAATTATGTCAGATTTAAAATGAGAACAGATCTACAATGGTAAATTAAAGTCACATTTATAATGGATTATTATTTAAAGAAACAAGTTATAATGGAAGGGTGTTGCGTTTTCTCCGTCAGTATCATCAGAAAGATATTTAGATAAGCTATGATACCTGTGTAGGCTATCTTGGGATTTATATTGGTTAAGCACAGCCCTTCCATAGTTTTCATCAGCGCTACAAGGAGAATAAAGACAGTGGTTAGTTTAAATTTGAATACCAACAATAGAAAAACGTGTCTTGGCAAAAAATTTCTGTCCTCAGTCAGATTTCATAGCCATTTACTACCACTATAGCCACACCAACTACAGAACTCCCTATTAGATTACTCCAAACATTTCGGAATATGAATTATCTCTTCCTGTGTGCTCTTTGTGGAGGGCCTGGTCTCTACGTGGAGTTTCTACTCTAATACAAGCACCAGTTTGCATTACAGTAAATTTCAAATGATTCTGACTTTACTAAGTTCCTTAGAGGAATTTGTCAAGGTTTACAGTCTTCAGACCTGTGAAAAAGAGTAGGATGGTAATCTTGGAACATACAAACAGGAAATGTGGGACTTTTCATGCAAAGCACAGGCTTGAGATGCTCAATACATCTCATTAAATACTCAGTGCACAGAAGTCCTACTACAAAACAGTCACTGAAAGTCCAACAGACTAATGTTCCATGACAAAATGAATATTTCATCAAGATGAGTAAATAATAGTTATTTTATGAGATCTATTTCATTTTTGGTAATATAATTCATGAAAAAGTAGACATTCAAAGAAAATATTTACTTAGCATGATAACCTGAAGACAGAAGAAATGTACTTCAGATCTTTCCTACCTTTCCTCTTCAGGTCTCTTCTTTATCCAGCTGTTATCTTGCAAAAGGGTCCGTCGCTTGTTAACATCATGATTAGCTTGCTGTCTGCTTTTAATTGCAACAGAAGGGCTCTTCTTATCTACAAATGCAGAGAAACATGTCTTGAAAATGAAGGCAAGAGAAAGCTTTGGAAACCTTTACTATTAAAAAGTACTGTTAAAAAGGGTGAAATCTGTGAAAGTTCAGCTTTTTTACCACCAGAAAAGAAAAAGCACAAAGAATATGTTTGATGATCTTGTTTAGTGCAGTCCGTTTCTTTGAAAAGTTTGTGACTTAATGCTTTCAACTTTAAAAGGAATGCAGAAGGACAGTTTACCAAATTGAATTCAGTTTCATCCTCAATACGAAGCAGCTTGGGATATGTTTTTAACTCTAAACAAATATGACAGATCTGATAGAGGAATTATGAAATATAAATACAATGGTTTTTCTAGGTGCAAATGTATGATTCCCATTTCTCAAGGGAATCTGGGTATGTGGTATCTGTATTTTTAGATGTGGGACAGGATACAAATTTCAAGTGAAAGCTAATCTGGAAATGATCACATGGTCATCCACCCACATCCAGCCCAACTTCTCTGAATTTTCAGGTTCCTCAAAAGGCTCAGACTCCCTCTGAAGCTTTTCCCTCAGTGGCTTAAGTAACAAGGTTCTCTGTTCTAACCAACTATTTAGTTTTGCTTAACTTTTTCTAAACGTAGTATTTTTATGTTTTCAAAGGTTTTCAAGAGAAATAGTACAACAAACATGCACATGTATATAATTTTTATTTACTTATGTAAACAACCTAAAACAATGCTGATATCTAGTATATTGAGTAACTAATAATATGATGTTCACTTGATCTGTGAGAATATATGTTCTTCATTGTATTAGAAAGCTAATCTTTATTTCCTTTGGTTTCTCTTTATGAGGAGTTTGCCCCAGGAACAAACAAAAATATTTAAACTATTATCGATTATTTCCATTTCTTTTTCTTCCCACTGAGTTTCATACCATCCTCTTCTTTGAAGTGGAATGATTTTTTTGCCATTACAACATTTCTCTTTAAAATGCAGGACTAGAAGCTGAGCCCTATTAGAAATTCCACATTTTCCTGGTGAAAAAAAAAGGTAAAGTATTTCATACAAAAAATCTTTATCAATGGCATCCAGTTAGTCAACAACCTGACTGATGAAAAACACTGAACTTTTCAGGTTTTCCTTCAGAGACCTTAATGATTTTCTCCATGAAATACTAATTCCCAAGCAAAAGTAGTTACATACCACATTTCAGGAGACATTATTATCTGATATTCAATAAGGACATTCCATTTTAAAGGAAGATCACACTTCACAGTCCATATTGTGTATTTTTCAATGCTGTATTTTGACATTTTGCTGTGATTATAAGAAAATGTAGCTCTTGCTTTTGATTCAAGATCATCAGCTGTAGTGGTAACTTGAAAAATGATAAATAACATGAAAAATGACAAGAAAGTAAGTGAGTGGTACATTGAATCATAACAGAACACCAAAACATTTATTTTAAGTGACAGTGGCCAAGATTTATCTTTCAAATACATTTCTTCATGAAAAAAGCATACTATAATACCATGAAAAAAGTCGTCAAACTCTGTACTTAACTGCTGACCAAACTGTGCCTGTTCTTATTTGTTCTTTTTCATTGCAGATATATCCAACCACCAAATAAAAGAAGGCCGGTGAAGCAATTCAAGGATTGGACTCCTTATCATTTGTATTTACTCAGCTGTAGGCACGTTCTCTGCTTCTTTGTTGAACTAGCTCTCTCCAAGACTAAGTGCTACAGAAGGGACAAACATTTAAAAGGCATGGATGTGAGAGTATAGATGTGTATTGCTGTCTCTTGGTCTTGATCCCAAAATTTAATTTTATTTTTAGAGCAACAAAGATGCATCCCTTTGTGACTATTACAAAATGAATATGCACATCAAAGCTAGGTGTTCGAGAACATGTTGACAGTCACAAATTAAGATCAGAACATCATCTGTCCTTACTGCGTAATTTCTGTACCAGTCTGTTCTCTCACACTTAAACTAGTTTCTTTCTTAAAAATATTTATTGAAACCTGTGCTAAAGACTTCAAAAAATGAAAATACCGCAGCCTTCCCTGCATAGCTCCTATGGTTCACTGAAGTATCTATTGAAAATTCACTTCATTTCTTGCAAACAGAAGAGAGGAAGGAACTTCATCAGTTTAAACAATGTCATTGTCTCATAGTCACTGCCAAGAATGGATATAGTTGTAATTGGCAAGCAAAACTGTATTAAGGGCATTTGCTCAAAATATGTATTGTTTTGAGTATACTGATGCTATTAGCAATGACTGGAACGCAGTAGAGACTTGGATGAAGATACACAGAAATAATACAGACTACAATCAAAAATCAAGGACTTGAATGAAGATGTAATGTCAAGAACTGTGGCTTCCTATTTTCATAAATACGTAGATATTTTCAATTTGGTGCAATCATGTGCACTGGAAGAAAATCCAACACTTTAATTCATGAAAGTAGGAAAAATATGAGTTGAAGTATATGCATTCCAGAGATAAAATTTCTCTTTGGCAAAGAGTGGAGGTAACTCCAGCATTCCTTTCATACTTGCAGTTTTTGCCAGAGCAGCTTTCAACTGCGCAATAAATCTGAATCTGTGCTTTGCTTTAAGCCACAACCTCCTCTAAATCTTGAACTGAAGACAGGAACATAATATGTTCAAGAAGTACTCAATATGAATCCGGTTATTAACTTGTTATATGGAACCTTTTTTCTATTCTAATGACATTTTATGAAAACTCTTATCATCTAACCCAAAATCATTTGGATTTCAGAGAAAACATGGCTTTTTAAAATTGTTCAGTGCACATAAGGCTTCAGGAGATCTCCTATAAAAGCAGCAGCCAAAGGATATACACTGTGTTTATTTTTCAAGAAATATTACGAGTTATTTGCTAGTGCATGAGGCCTACACTTTGCTGAACAGCATTCATTTCTAATCTAATCAGCTACCTCCTAAGTTTCAATTAAAAATTGAATACATATCTGATGCAACCATGTAGATCACATGAGCACAGGTAGACAGAGCATACTCTCTTCTTATTTTGGCAATAGTTTATGTCATTATCACTGTACAGATTTGAATACAGATGCCTCTAGTCACTTATTCATACTGTTTCTTCACTATTTCAGCCTTAATCTTTTCAGCAGGGCTTGAACATGGGAGCAGAGGAATTACCTCCCAAACCCAAGTGAATTCAGCCAGAGTTGATGAACATTCAGAATAAAGCAAAATACTGATTTTCAGTATGCTCAAGGGCATGGGTGATACAGCCTGTTTCAGAGTGCATGCCTCCAGCATTTCCAGAGGACATTTCCAGTTTTGCTGCTCCTGGGAAGCCCTCCTCAGAGGGCAGAATGCTTGCTCCCTTTCTGTCTTCTGCCTCTATACAGCAGGGCTGCCTTACACTGAGTACTGTCTACAGAAAATGGCAACATCAGCACAAGTTCTTGAAAGTTGTAAAAAGGAAAATACACAAATAATAAAGATTTTTGCAGTCAATCCACTGGGTAGGCTGCACAATAGTAATACTTGTGGTTAAGCTGCCTTCCAGCCCTGGTCAGCCCTAGAAGCATGGCCGTGGCCATCTTGATGCTCTGAGACCTTTAGTGTCTCACCAAAGGCAGGCCCTCAGGCACCTCAAAACAGTAAATCTTTAGAAATATTATGTCCCATCTGACAATGATTAAACAACTTTTCTCCCTTCTCCCTTCCATTCTAATTTTCCACAGTTTCTTTTTTCTCCATTGAAGTCAATGGGCAATGGATGGCCCAGCTGCCATGTTCCCATGGGATTTCCACAGCAACCAGGATACCATGGGGAACTGCCATCTTGTACCACATTGCCTGGATATGCTACCCAGCACAGTATTTCGGCCTAAACCTCTGCCAGAAAAAGCATGACATGACACAGAATCATAGAATAACAGAATCATTGAGGTTGGAAAGACCACCAAGATAATTTAGTCCAACCATCAACCCATCACCACAGTACCACTACTGTCACTCAGCATGACACCTAGCCTTTTCTTGAAAACCTCCCAGGATAGTGACTCCACCACCACCCTGGGAACTCTGTCTTAATAAACTACTCTTTGCAGCTGTAGTGAGTCCAACTGCATATGACTGTCAAAGGGTGGTCAATGCCAGTGCTGCTACCAAAGAGTGTTGGCGTGCCTTGGAAGGGAGCTGTTCAATGGGCACAGCAGTGCTTGCAAACAGTAAGTGGGAGAGGCCCCAGGAGAAACTGAAGGATATTTAGCATTACCACTTTGATTAGGAGACTGCTTTCGTATGCTGAAGGCTGACATTTTCTTCAATAGGGTGTCCTTCTGTGGGAATCTAAAATAAAACACGAAGAAGAAAAGATGGCAGTAAGATTAGGAATCAGCCTCGAAGTCAGAGTAAATACATACGCCACTTTGATCAGCTCCTTGGACAAGTTTAGTAAGATAGAATGGCTTAGAGATAGCTGCAGCCTTCTTTGAACTGAAGTTCAGACATGGTATTCACTTTTCCATCCCTCATTAAGACAATATATAATCCTGCCCTGCATCTGTGCTCATCTTTCTCTTCTTGTCTGGACTTCTTCCCTGAGAGCATACGTGGTGATGAGAGCCTTCAGAGGAGAAGACTCAGGTGGGAAGATGATATCAGCCTGTGGCTCAGAGAGCTGCCTGGAGCACACGTGGGCTCACCCAGCCCTGATGACAGGTCTCACAGCTTCAGTGGCCTGCAGCTAACAGCAGGGCTCTGAGGACAGAGCAGGAGAAGGAGGAAGAGGTGGTTCTTCTGCCCTGCAGCAGTTCACAAGTCACTGACTTCTTTCCCTGTCTGGAACGAGGTTAAAAACAAGCCTGCAAATATGCTGATTTAAAAATATATATGGGAGTTGAGTCATGCAAAAATTTCATTATGTGATTTGAAACTTTGATTATCAGTCTTATATTGAAAATATCAAGTGGAACATAATGATATTTTAATAACCAAAAAAATTCCCTTAAGGAAAAAAAAAATAGTAACAAGAACATAAGTTCATGATACAACAAGTACATGATACTCTTTAGCAAACAGTTTTCTGTTTGAAAAGCAGGATTTTCCAAGAAAACAATGTTAAGCTGGGATTTTCTCAACGCACTCCACTGGTCAGGTTGCTAAGATTTAGAGCAGGACAAGAAAACAGTTTTTGTGACAGAGACATTCATTGACAAGTCACAAACTTTCTCTGAGTGACACTGTTGTATCTTACAGATGTAAACAGGAGATTGACAGACTAGAGCGTGTGGCTGTTTCTTTACTGATGGAAGGCAGTGGTGTCAAATTTTGGCAGAAGCTTAGCAAAGGTATTAGAAATAACGATGAAATGAAGGTATGGAAACAAAATCAACCAGTGGATGCCACAATGAATTGCACTTAGAGCATATAATTCCTTTGTATGTTTCTGCTGCCAAATAATTATTAAAAGAGCTTATGATGATCAAAAAAGGAAAGCATTGACAAATCTTACTATAAAGTAAATGTATATAAATTTAAAAATAGTATTGAAGAACAAAAGTCCTCATCTGTCTTACTGAGCTGTGAAATTCCAGGTGTTTATAAGAGTTTAAAATTCTGAAAGCAGACTGGAAGACTCTGAGCCACACTCCTTTCTTTTAGTTGTTAGTACCAAGCACGTATTGACAAAATTCATGTAGAAAACACGTCACTGCTGGATCTGATTTTCACCCAATAAAAATATGTTCAGGTCTATAGTGAGCCTTATTTGTTTTGCAGCAGGTTACAAAATACCTTTCAAAATTACTGATACAAGGTTTTAAGTAGATATGTACTGAATTTCCTGGGAACTGTTCAGGCAATCTATTTTAAATAATGAATATTCTTGCTATACATTTTCCTGAACTGTCACAGTCATATGAGAAAAAAAAAAAAAGAAGATGATAGTTCTGATTTATTTATATTTTCAGCTATATTTTCAACTTAGCAACCACTGGACATCTGATACTGCTCTTTATTTCAGTCAGTTCCTGGATAATAAGAAGCTTGACATTTCAGTATGTCAGTGAGTGCTGGCACTTTTTCATCTGGAGAAATAAAAGTAGTTTCTATAGAAGGAACTTCCATTTATTTTCCATTAATGATTTTAAAAGATATTATCTAAGGGAAGAGTATCATAAAACATCGAAGAGCCTTCTTTTGTTAAGATCAGATCAAATGTCGATATTCTAAGGATTAAAATTTCTAGTTAAAAATTTGTACTTTGCATTTGAAATATTTCTCATTAAAACAGCAGGAAATTGCTATGTAGACTTCACAGCATACTGCTGCCTTTTTTTTTTTTCCATAGATTCATGATGGAAACTGAATTTTTTCACAGAACTAACAAGGAAGTATCCTTCCTACGCCTTTGTTAAAAATAAAAAAGAAAGCCACAGATATTAGTTCCGAAAAATAAATTATCCCCAACGCAAACAGAAATCACATGCTTTCAGACTTGACTTTAAAATCTACAGAACAACTAAAAATGCATTGAGAATACTGACTTTGAAAACAACTGCAAAACAGTCTTGCTATTCCCTCTTACATCCATGCATGACAAAACAAAGTCCAGCAGAGAACTGAGAGCACTCCACAGTGAGACTGCTTCTTTCATTCTTCATCTTTTAATTGAAGCTGTGTGTCATCTCATCCTATATTCAGTTTGCATTGTTGTCAGGGTAAAAAAAATATTTCTGTTGCACATGCGTACAGCATCCAAAATAAATTACTACCTAGTCTTCAAGCCCCAAAGTAGAGTGCATCAATGAGTGTTAGAAACAGCTCAATACCTTTTACAGACAGCACTGAAAAAGCGTCAGGCATTCAGAAGTTCCAAACCCAGGCAATTTAGCCTTACAGCGCGATGTCATGTTGTCCTCAAGGTTTATGTCTTGCTTTGGTACTTTCAAGTTGTATATCTAAGATTAATCCATTACAATTTTGAAATGCAAATTAAAAACCCTTCTAATTTGGTCTCTGCACAGATGATGAAGAGTCATCAGAGGAAGAATTAGATTTCAAGATCTTAAAAATGGAAAGAATCTTGCATAAAGAGGCAGGATAAAATTCAAAGCATTTTTTTCTTGGTCTTCACTATTACATAAAAGTGTGTGCATCTGCATATGTGAAAAGAGGAATGGACAGAAAGCTATGAGAATCACATTAGTTTGAAAACTTAGACTTATAAAAATCTAAAACCAACACACTATTCACACAGGTCAGTGAACAGTTTATCATCATCCCATAACTATGAAGACCTTAAAAAAAAAAAAGTTTTTAACTTCTAAAATCAAATTGTGAGAAAGAGAAGCTCTAGTCTTCTGTAGTATAGTAGTAAATTACGTTCAGGTTTTCTTAATAAGAGCTCAGCCACTGAAGCCAAACAACTCTGTTGGAATGCAAAATAAAAACAAACAGGAATGCTGCTTCAGTGCAAATTTGAATTTAGAAACAGCGTCAGTAAACTTTAAAAGAAAATGAAAACTGCCCAAGCCAGTCCAATGAGCTACTCCCAAAAGGTTTTAGGGCATAGCAGTTCTTTATTCAGAATTCCCCACATTTTTTGAGAAATTTAAACACAGTTTAATCCAGAAAAATATCTTCAAACATGACTTTAGAGGTAATCAAATGCCTCTTCAAGCTGGTGGTAGAACCACCATAGAATAATAGAATCCTTAGAGTTGAAAGATGACCTTTAAAGGCCATCTAGTCCAACTCCCCTGCAATGAAGGGCTACATCAGATTCTCCAGTCTGACCCTGAATGTCTCCAGGGACAGGGCATTCACCACCTCTCTCAGCAACCTCTTCCAGTACCTCACCACTCTCACTGTAAAAGATTTTTTCCTTATATCTAACCTATGTCTTTAAGCTTGAAATCATTTCCCCTTGTTCTGTCACCACAGACCCTGCTAAAGAGTCTGTCCTCTACTTTGCCGTAGCTTCTGTAATAAGTTATTTGGAAAGCAGCAGAAGTCGACATATAACCGTGTTCACAATTCTACATCTCATTTCCATATCTTGATCAGCAGAAGACCTCAGGCTGCCATAAATGTTTGAAGTTAGACCTTCTAGTTTTCAGCTATTCCGAATACTCCCATACTTCAGAATCCTCTTGCCTTCCTTGATTTGGTCTGGGCTGTAGCTTTCTATATAATTAGGTTTCACATTTACACATTTAAAAAAAAATAAACAAACAGGAATAATACAAGCATTTTGCATAAGAATCATTTTTTCCACATTAGACTGAATTAGTTACAGCCAAACAGTGTTTCTGTTCTATAGCTTCTAGCTATGTGAGTGATTAAGATCTTATTTATAAATATTTATATTACAGAGAAACATTACATTGTTTCTTTCCCCATCTGAAATATACTGCATATTATCACAGTGCATAAGTTGTTCATTGAAGTAAATCTAAAAATGTAGTGGCAGGTACATCCTCTTTTCTGAAAAGTCAGAAAATTGATTCTGTTTTCAAGCATGTGTGTACTGTATCCTTGTAGTTTCAACTTTTCAAAAACACCAGATCCCTGCCATATGAAAGTAAACAGGCACTTCTTTCTTTATCCCAAATACAACATTTTCCACTAAAATCTCATCTTGAAGCACTATGCTGCTCTAAAGTAAGGTGGAAATTTGGTATTTTTTAAGTATTTATAGCTCAAAATTTTAGAGTCATTCAAGTAGAAATTTAACAGAAAGGTTAGAAAACTAATATTCCACATCCTTAGTGTTTTAAACTATTTACTTCCCTTCACTTAAACCAATGAGAAATTCTGAACAAAATAACTACACTGGTGATTGAATAAAATGAAGGTTTACTTTGGTTTAATCTTTTTTATATTTTTTCTCCATAGGCACTGTTGAAGTTAATGCTCTAACTCATAACTTATCCTTCATTTATATAAAAGGAGTGTCAAAGATATGATATATTAAAGAAAATCTCATCTGATCATATTTAATCACAGTACCACGTTAGTAAACATTGTTATTTCATCTTGAATATAGTAAAACATTTATTTCTCTTGAGTATAGTAAGACCCAGATGTGTGAGCAGCAGCTGATTGAAGTCACTTCATCTTGATGAAGGATAAAGATCACAAAACTTTGAAATAAGGTACTGGGATACACATCATTACAATTCTAGATAGATAACCATACATATGAGATGCAATCTGGATGGTCTGGAAGTCAGCTGTTTCTACATCCATCATTTCTCCTCAAGTGAATGTTTATCATGATCCTATCAAAGGTTGTGATTGTTTGTCAGACTTGACTAACTATACATAAATAAGAATTTGTATTTCTAAACATGGGTTCACTTCCTGGTCATGGACGAAAGCTGTTTTTCAAGTCCCCATCACAGCAAGAGATAGCCAAAGTTGTATCACGCTTCATACGGCCAACCTTGCCTTATTAAGCATATGACTTAAAGGTCCAGTCTGGCAGGTGCAGATCTGTATGTATAATGGATGCTGTGCTCTTCTCTCTCCAAAATTACCACCAGCACCTGTTACCACAGTTCAAGACTGTAGTTCAGGACACGAAATAGAAAGAATAATGCTGTTCCTCAGTGTTAATCCTACAGGCATCTTAGCAGCACACATTAACTTACTGCTCCCCCCCCCCCCCCCCCCCGCCCCGGGATGAGGGAGAGAATCAAAGAAAACAAAGTAAAACTTGTGCGTTGAGATAAAAAATATTTACAAAGATAATAGGAAATAGTTGTAATTATTACATATATATATAATTGTATATGACAAATGATGCACAAGCAACTGCTCTCCATCCATCAGCTAGTTCGCTGAGCAGCAAAAGAGAGCCTGATGAACTCACACCCCCTTCAAAACTCCTTCCACTTGATGTCATGTGGTTTAGAATATCCCTTCAGCCAGTTTAAGTCAGCTGTCCTAATTCTGTTCCCTCCCAGCTTCTTGGACGTTTTGCTGAGAGCAGTGTTGGCTCTGTGAAACACCGCTTAGCTGCGACTATAAACATCAGTGTGTTAACATTGTTTTTCTCTTAGAATCAAAACAGAGCACTATGCCAGACACTCTAAAGAAAACAATTCCACTCCAGCTGAACCTAAGGCACTCAGTGCAGTACCAAGTGAGTAGTCAAAGCTTAACACTGAACATGTGAATATCAAAACTGTAACTGAAATGTTTATCTGGCAATTTATTAACTTTTCTCAACTTTTGCTGAAAACCACAATAAAAGACAACTACATTTATTTTGTAGACCACAATTTTATTATTTTGTAGACTACATTTTATTTTGTAGAATGTTTTGTATTGAAGAACAATAAAAACACATTCCTAGAATATTTTTCTTCTTGAGATTCATATCAGATAAAAAGCAATATAACACATTTTTAAACTTCTGGAAAGAATACAGTGTGTATAAATGAATATTTTACTACATAGTTTGGGCCAGAGTATTCATAATAGCCTTTGTAAAGAATAGGAATAACATGCACATACATAAAGTTACACTAGACAAGGTTAGAACAAGCAAGGTTGGACCAGCGAACACACAAATGTAAGACAGAAGTCATTCATCTATTTGTAGCAGAAAGAGCTCTCAAAACTGGTTTTTCAGGATGTGGGTGGAGAAGATTCTGTTTTGAAAGAAATTATGCCTTGGAACTGTCCCTAATGTATGCCAAAAATCAACTGCTAAGACAGAACCCAAATTTGTATGTGCTTTGTAACTAGAAATATTGATCCATTTTAAATGTGTGTTGTTGTTTTAATGGGGTACAGAAGGTATTTATTTTAGATTTTTTTATTAATCTATTTCCTTTCATTTTGCAACATTTCTAATAAAGAACTTTTCCTGTTTATACCTGAGTTCACATCATGCTGTGGCTAAATCACTGTATCACAGAAGAACAAGCTATACCTTATGCAAAGGTAGAAATTAATTCTTAATATTTCATGAGTGGTTTGTTCTTTAGAAAAATCTATTGCTATTTTCTTTTGAAAAATCTTATAACTAAAGCAAATTCGAGTAAATTATATTTTAATAGACTTTACTTCATTTTAGATAAAAATTCCAAAGAAACAGTAAAGAAACAGTAAGTCAAGCCATAGAGTAAAAGTGACAAAATGACATTAAAACAACCATTTGTGAAAAGGGGTCTGAACTGTGAGTTCATCATCAAAGAACTACAATTAGTAATAAAAAGTAATTAATCATGTAACTAAGACAGTATGGGCAAGAGAAGATTTCAGAAAGGTGGAGGGAATTTTGAAGACTTAAACTGAGACACACGAATTTTCATAGCACATTCACTTGTTGAAAAGATTCCTTAAAGCTGGACACTGCAAAATCACACAGCATTTGAAAATGGAGGACTTTAAATACTTGGTATATATAAGCATAAAACAAATGCTCTTACCTAGATATGGTAGAAGTCAATGTCCTAGCGTGGTTCAGTATGGTAAGTCAACCTGGAGATACCTGGAAGTGAAGTACAATCAAAGCAGATAGAGAGCTGAACTGTTGTTCTCCATCCAGCTGCCTGAAAAGTCAAGAGACTTCTACTTCAGAGGCTGAGTCACTTAAGGAGGAGGCAGGAGGTGTGGAAAAGGGTGGCACCTTGTAGAAATACCAGATCAATTAAAAGTACTGGGAAGTTGTTATACTTCTATGCTTGCTGTACTTTTCAAGTTCAGTAGGGCTGGGCTTCGCAAAATAAAATGCTTCCACATGCCTTGAAACTGAAATCCAAGCAAAGCTTGAAGCAGTATACCAGTCTCATTAGGATTTTCCACAGACACATATATTGCAGAGCTTTAGCACTGTCTCCCAGATAGAGGGTTTCAGGTATTTACACAGGCACACAAAAAGAAATGGTGCATTTCATCACAGGCAAACTCTACAGAAGTGGATAAGGCACTGTATACTGATAAACATTAGGTATTTGCTCTGTCAGAATATGTGGGCAGAGGCAAAACATCTGTGGGGAAAACCCTCCCACATGAGACCTTGTTGCAAGTCTCTCTTATCTCTGCACGTTTGCATTCTCCTTCAGTGCAGCCAACAATAAACAGAAGGAAGAAAAGAGACCACCTCTGCTATTATTTTATTTTTATTTACAGTGACTACAGTTTGTTTCTCTGAAGGCTAAAACTGTCTCATCATTACTAAATACAGTGTTAGGGAACAATCACTTTGTTATGTGAATGCTTTGTAAGATGATATAGTTCAATTTGGGGCACAAAGTCTGTTACAGATACATTTATATGCGTATATATATAAAGAGAGAGAGAGTCTATGCTTTTTTTATATTTGGGGAATTTTTGCAACAAAATGTGTGAGAAATGGTTATACAAGATGTTCCTTTAGTCCTATTGTCTTTCATTAAACTTAAGACTGTACTTTAATACTAAAAAAAGCAAACACTGACACAAACCAACTTAATAAATGTCTGTTAAGCCATGTTTCAAATCCTTCTTTTTGCTGATGATTATCTCTTCACAGGCTAGGTAGTTAGTAACATGAAGTTACTATCCAAACACTGGTTATATCTGATGAAACACAGCTGATGAAGCAAAGCAGCAGACCAGAAAACACCAAGTATGAATACTAATAACCACAAGTTTCAGAGTTAATGAATGCAAGTATACCTTCCCGAACTTTGTACATCTCAGCATCCGGGTTTCTGAAAGTGAAAAATATTTACAGCAGTCATGGCATGTTGAAGTATATTGTACTGTATCTTCAAGTTTTTACAATCAAGGAGAACATTTTGCAAATGCATCTTTTTATATACATGTTGCAATTTTACAATTTTAACATGCATGTCTTCCAAATGAAGTAGAAGTTCAACTTCATTAGCAATACATAATGGTAATTAGGCTAAAACAAAATTCTACATATATTTTGAGTTGAAATGGAATTATAACTTTGACTTATAATAACAACACCCGAGACTTAGAATATCATTTTAATTTGAAGGGCCCTTTTTCACCAGGTGTTGGATGGCATTGCTTTGCCAGCATTTTACATTCAACCAAAACAATTTTGCCTATAAATCCAAAATAGACTTAACCTATCTTACAGCACTGACTTGTTTAGCCTATATGTTTGAGAAATGCCAAAAGGGGTGAAGCCAACAGAGTATGTCAGAATTCAAGTGATGCTTTCCTATATTTATAACCTTTCAACACAGAAAATAAACTATGAGATATAGCAAGCCAGTTCTGAAGCCAAAGTCTTCCTTTAAGACAGTCTTGGTTGGCATGACAGCTTAGAACCTCCACAGGAAAATGCATAACTCCAAGAAATTCCAACAGTGGTACTGAGCTCAGCTTAAGAATAAAGGCCAGCTATATTATAGACTGATCTGCGACAATCAATAGATTCAATGGATGGTGATTTTTTAACTTTAGCTATGCTAATTACTTACTGTTCAGAGCTGGAAAAAGATAGAAAACATTATATTCTCCAAATTTAAGTAAATATGACTCACTGCTATTCATTCTGTCTGATATTCTCTATAGCAATTTTGCAAGTACTGTATCTGGTGAATAAGGACTATATTGCGCAGTAACGCGTATCAGGAATTGAACATTTCCTGCATAAGCATACAGTGGAAGTGACTTACAAGTATTTCCCATGAACCACCTCTTCATTTTTCTGAAGAAATTTAGGTTTTAGAACTTCAGAGGAACTCAAATTTTGCCTCTCAGTCTTAAGTGTATTCCACAGATTGCGTGAACTGTTCTACAGTCAGTATGAGAGAACATTTCTGTTTTCAGACCGTAGTTTAAAGCCCATATTTATGTGAAGAAGGGATGTAAAAACAGAGTGAAACAATTGCAGACTTTGTTAAAATTTGAAACGTCTTCCTCATTCCCTTCTTTCCCTGCAGTAAAATTCCCCAGTTATAGCACAGACATCCATTCTGGAATCAGATTTTTCAGTGGTGTCAGAAAATGGGAATGCAAAAAGAAGATGCAAGTATGTGATTCACCACCAATGTCTTTCAAAGGATGCAATTTACTTGATCCACCAGCTAACAGCATGGGGCCACACTGTTCCTTTAATTTACCAGAGGTGAAGGAATTCTTGATGAGTTTAAATTAATATAGATTTGGTGATTACAGTAATTAATTTCATAACTACCTATTTGACGTAACTTCTATACTTCTATATGTTCTGCTTTTTCTTGCAATTCTCTCTCTCACAAAAAAAAAGGTAAAAAAAAAAAAAAATAGAAAATACACAAATAGCCACATCTTCAACTGATACAGAGGAATGCAACTCCACCAAAATCATTCTGATGATTCCCATTAGCAGGCTATCTGATCTGACATGGTTTATGAAGGAAAGCAAGAAATGACTTAGAACTCCTCCTTACATTAAGTCATCTCTTTAATTTACTAATAAAAAAAATAGAGACACATTAGTGATTAGTAATCAGAGTTCATTGTCTCTTGCTGATCAGGCTGATAGCACATTTTGGAGGCCATTTCCAACAAGCTCATTGGGATTAGGTTTATTACTCATCCAGAGAATTTTTCTTCTCCCGGTAAACTGCCAGTTTCCAGTAGAGGATGTTGACTTTTAAAATTCTGTAGCACTGGTAGAAAACTGTCCATAAGTAGTTCAGAAAGACCATCATTTAGATCTGAATGGCTGATTCTGTGTTACTGAAGTCAAATGCGTGTAGTATCCAGTAGTAATGACACACTATTTTACTTCCTGATTCCCACCTCTTTCTGAACATGATAGTTGTTCTATATATTTAACTTTAGTTTGTACTTTCCTAGAGTCCATCCTTGACTGCTACTAAAATGCATTTTCTTGCAGATTTTTATTGAATTTCCATTTTACAAGTGCAAAATGTACTGCTAAGAATTGTTCTCCTTCCACATTCTTATTAAGGTTTGTAAGATGTCTGTCATGTGAAAATAATGTACTTCAGCCTAGCCCTGTTAAGGTATTACATAGACACAAAACGGAGAGAGGAATGAGCGATGAGTCAGCAGACAACTTCTTGGGCAAATACCATTCTGTGACTCCTCCCAGAAAGAGAGGAATACCTTACTGAATACCTTTTTTTCATAGACTGTATTCCAAAATAGAAATCCTTTAATACTGTAAACCTTGCAGTTAGGACTGGTAAAGTAATGTCTTTCAGAATATCAGATGCGTCTGTTGTTACTGTTGTGTCTGTAAGACTTAACGACCTTCCAGCAAGCAATGGTCTAAGTTTTGAGTTTCAAAATACAAAAAGAATAAACAAAGATAAATTTCTCCTACTAAGTTAAACATACCAAGCTCAGTCTCTGGCCAGAGGACAAGTGGTGCAGCATGATTTGCATCTAGAAGGCTAAATTTGCTTGCTAAAACAAATTGTGTAGCTTCATCCTTACTCCTGTCAGAGCATGAGGCTTGTACTAGAGACAACCAGGCCTAGTTTTTGTTTCAGAGAGAACTAATTAGCAAAGACAAAACTGTAGCAAGGAGTGTGCTAACAGGAAGGCATGGACAAATGGGAAATTTTGCTCAAGTCTATCCCTTCTTAATTAATTGGCATGGTCACATTCATTCAATCTGAGTTTTGCAAAGTTAACTGCATTTGATATAACTTGTGTTTAAAGGAGACTAAAACTGTAATAGAGAAGTGTCAGCAGTGGATGATGGCCAGCTGACAGCCAGCGTGGCTTAACGGGCAGAAAGAGTGACCTGTATTTGGTTGGACTGTTGCATATCTGTGCTACCAGCACACTTTTCTTTCTAAGGCATCGTCTATATCACCTATGTATGAAGGTGGGAATTTTGAAAAGTAACTCAAAAGGATTTAGGGAAGAAAATCCCAGCCTAGCAAATGGTAAGGAATGGTAAGGAATGTTCATGCATAGAGTGACATCTTTCTCTCAAAGGTGACTAACAGAAGAACCACTTCTATCTTCATTTCCACTCCACTCCAACCTTATAAAATAATAGATGCTTGGGACTTTTGCTACTTCTGTGAACAGGTGTACTTTTCAACTCCAGTGACAATGAATAACCAAGGGAACATATTGCCTGTAAGTATATCCTTATCAAGAGGTATTTATGACTCAGAACCCGGCTAGATACAGTTATTGGAATCCTAGTAGGATTCACAGCTGCAAGAGAGAGGAGATGAAGAAATAAGGAGCATGGTTTGTTTTTGTTTTGTTTTTGTTTGTTTGTTTGTTTTAAAAGCTATTTCCTCCTTAGATCCCACAGCTTTCTGTAACTCTCCCCTGAAAATCTTTGTCCTCCTGAAAAAAAAATCTTAAAAAAACTGATTTGATGTGAGATGGAGACTCCCTTTCTTTCTAGGCATCAGTCTAAGATGGAGATTTTGATGATAGATAAGCAATTTTGAGGGCAGCCTTGCAATGCCTAACTACTGGCATTGCCATGTGCCTGGGATCCATTTTGAGAACTTTTTCCTGCCCTGGTGCATAGAAGTCAGAAATCCTCTGTCTAATCTATATGCATCTCAGAGCATGCCTAAATCTTTCA